TGGGGTGGGGTGGGGCGGGGTGAAACTGCCATTTTGGCACACTTTGTTCAAATCCTCCAAAACCAACAATGTTTGATTTTGGAGAACTTAATCTTTTTTTTTTTAGTAAGTGTTTTACGGCACTTGCAACACAATAAGGTCATACAAGTGCCGAAGATTAGAGGTGTAACAAGAGAGTAACAAACACAAAAAAAAGGAGCAGAGATAAGGACGATAGATGTTTGATAGCCACTCACACCAGAGCACCCGCCAACCACCCACTTAATCAAATTGAGCCAAAATGGTAGTAGCTTTTTCACCTTCCAGGGAGTAAATTTTAGGCTGGCCCCCGAACTCAATTTGACTGGCAATGTGCACTGGGTATAAGACACAGAATGAATGAGTGGTATATTTTTATTGATGCACTAGCGTCTTTGAGCAATCGAGCCAGACATCACGTGCGATGGAAAAGCAGTCCGAATGTCTCTTAGGAACCGTGAACGTGAGCAATACAATAGCACAGACGACACGAGATCTTGAGTCGTTGGGTTTGATGATAATTATTTTTAGTAAGCGTTTTACGGCACTTGCAGCATAAATAGGTCACAGAAGTGCCGAAGATTAGGAGGTATTACTAGAAAGTAACATACAAAAAAAAGGAGGAAAGGTAATGACGATATATCATGTTTGATAGGGAACAAGAAGCAAACTACACTAGGGCACCCACCAACCACCCACAACAAGTGGCCGTGAATTTGGTTTTGAAAACTCCAGATAGATCTAGTGTGAATTAATTCAACCATTAACTTTTCGGTCTGCCATAACAACGACTTCTATTTCAGTCGCGCGTTTCTTATGTTATAGAATGAGACTTAGTGCCAAGCCGGAAATCAGGTAAGATCAGAGGCCCGTATTTATAAACTAAAGCATCTGCAAACATTTATGTCATAGATATAAAATGCATGTGTGCTTACCGCTCCCCTCCCTCCCCACCCCCCTTTCCACAAAAAACACCAGAGAATGTTGTTTGCTATCGTTGGATCAAGACAGGCAATCGTTTTGTATTGCAAAGGCATGTAACTGCATAATATATGATGATGATGATGATGATGATGATGATGATGATGATGATGATGATGATGATGATGATGATGATGATGATGATGATGATGATGATGATGA